CTACAGCTAAAAGTGCTACCGCCAGACCCGGAGATCGGCTGAATGGATTCGAAAACGGTAAAACTCAACTATTTAACTCTAGGGGAGTTGGAAAATGAGCCTGTTTTCAAAAATAGTGGAGTGTTCCTTTAAATCTGATTCTCCTGCGTTCTCCTCGTTCCTCGCTCCTTGTTCCTTGTTTCTTGCTCCTCACCGTAGGCACACTGTGACAAATAGTGTTCAAAAGCTTGGGGTCTGTAAGATGTCTTAATATTTTTAGAAGAAGATACTACTTTCTCACCAATTTTTTCTTTGATAAAAAAAACAGTAAAAACAGTAATATTTAAAATATTATTACAGTGTATATATATATATATATATATATATATTATTTTTTTTTTTTTTTTTCAATTTCTGTTTCATATTTTAATATATTTTAAAATGATCACACAATCCTTCAGAAATAGAGATGTAACGATTCACTCACAATGTAGTACAATTCATGATACTGATTTCACGATATGATTCAGTATTTTTTATTTTTCCAAAATCATTTTTAAGACAAATTATAAATAAAAAGTTGTCCTTTTATTATTTCTGCACATTTCTATGTGAAATTTAAATATGTAAAAAAAAAAAAAAAAAAATTGAAATGTTTAAACCAATCCCAAAACAGATAAATTGTTAATACAAATAATTCTCTTCATATAAAAATAATTATAGGGGTAATTATAACTAAATTATAACTATATATAATTATATAGGGGCAACCACTGAATTAATCACCATCCAAACAAAGATGCTGCATACATGTTTTTTAGATTGTATAATTTCGAAATCTGAAGCAAAAAAACAATGGGCTGACTTTAGTTTTATGAAACTATACTACATAAAACATATCTGAACGAAACAAAAACAGCAGATGGACTGAATGAGACGCAAATTCACTCTGACAGCAGGTGCCGCTTATGGAACAGCAGCGATACAGCATTTCATTGCTTACTGCTGTAAACAAAGCAGCGCTGCGCGAAAAGAAAATACCATCTAAACTTTTCTGAAGACAGCCAGTTCCCCTCAGAGATACATTCATATAAACCCCCAATTGTATCACGATTTGTTTAACAACTGACTTGAATCGTCACATATTTTTATAGATTTTCTGCCAGCTCGGGGTGCAGCATTACATCCCTATTCAGAAATCCTTATAACATGCAGATTTGGTGCTCAAGAAACATTACTTATCATTATTGAAAACAATTGCGGCTTAACATTTTTGTGGAAAACCTTACTGATTTTTTTCAAGATTCTTTGATGAGTAGAAACTGTTTGAAATAGTAATATTTTATTACATTATAGATCTTTACTGTCAATTCTGATCAATCTAATGTCTCCTTGCAAAATAAAAGTATTAATTTCTTTAAAAAAAAAATTACTGACCCCAAACTTGTGAACGGCAGTGTATATTCATAGATTTTCTTCATACTTCTATGCCTCATTTGCTAAAGTATGCCATATAGTACGCTGATTATGGTGTAGTAACAAATTGTGTAAAGTATTAATTTCTATGCTACTTACTATTGAAATTCTTTTTGTTTCAGGGTCGTCATGTTAAGACGGGTCAGCTGGCAGCCATAAAGGTCATGGATGTGACTGAGGAAGAGGAGGAGGAAATTAAAGCTGAGATTAACATGCTGAAGAAGTACAGTCACCATAGGAACATCGCCACCTACTACGGAGCCTTTGTGAAGAAAAGTCCACCCGGACACGATGACCAGCTCTGGGTCTGTGCTTCCTCAAACATGATCACCACCATAACCTTTCTGACCTGCTAAAAAGTGCAGCGTCAAGACACAGTGATCAATTACAGCTACAGTCTGTCGTTAATAACATTTTGAGGTCATGGACCTTGTTGATTTGGAAAAAATAGCCTGTATCAGGTTGCAGTTTCATATATGTAAATTTTGTGTTTTTGTTTAGTTGGTGATGGAGTTTTGCGGCGCCGGCTCAGTTACAGACCTGGTGAAGAACACAAAGGGCAGCTCTCTGAAAGAAGACTGGATTGCTTACATTTGCAGAGAAATACTTCGAGTGAGACTCATGAAGTTACCATGAAATCAAAATTGACAATTCTTATTTTTTTATGGAATATTGCAATGTTTATTATAAATATTATCCTTTTTTTTATTTTATTCATGTTACAAATCTACATTACATGCCTGGTCCATGACACTTAACTGGAGCCTTACTTAAGTTAATCTTTTAGTTTCATGTAATTACATGTAATGCTGCACAGCCAGTAAACACTGTCTCTCTGCTTCTCAGGGTCTGTCTCACCTTCATGCTCATAAAGTCATCCACAGAGACATCAAGGGGCAGAATGTACTGCTTACAGAGAATGCAGAGGTTAAACTTGGTGAGTTAAAAACAAATGAATACACTGGGCTAATATTGGGGTATG